ACTTTAAGCACCTTACAAGCAAACCCATCATGCTACATTCATATTAAATACTGATAAAATATTTACTCTCTCCTTTAGCCCAAGGCCATTAACAGTCTAAACAACAACCATCTTGATTACTGATAAACATATGAGACATGACTGACCATATATAAACACGGGGAAGGAGCGGGTGGGGGGTTTTGTTCAAGCTGCTTCAGCAAATCCAACTCTCAGTTTGCCACCATCGAATACGGTGTGGTATCAACCCATTAAAACATCTCCCAAGATCATGCACATCACATTGATGCATTAAAATATTTGACACCAACGTGTAATACAACCGGAAACTAAATTGCATAATCCATGATCTTGAGAAAGAATTACCAAAGAGGTCCACGAGGAAAGGGGATGTCCAAAGCAGTGAAACCAGAAATGTATTGTGCAGCAGAACCCTCACCAACCTTGAGTATGTACTAGTCAACACCATAAGATAACAAAAGTGTAAACTGAAATAACCAGCTACAAGGAAGCAAGATTAAAACCAGCAAGTGCATTACAAAAAATAGTTCTGCCCAAGTCCATGCCTATTTACAAATTACCAGAGATGAAATGATACAAAAATGAAAAACAAGAAATCAAAAATGATGATGATGACAACAATAAAAATATAATAGCCGGCACAGGAAAATGGGCTAAAATTAACGTGGCCATAATACTTTCTTTACATGTATGACCATGAAAAAAAATGGAACAAATGCAGGATGCCCAAATTACTGTCCAATTTCTTTACAAATTCAGGTAGTTTTATAGTTCATCCATACAGCATAATCCATGGTGAAGAAATGCCCAGATTGCACATTGGCACTGCCTATAATATATGGTCAAAGTAAACAACAATCAGGTAAACCAATCCCAAATTGATTTTAGTTTTACAGTTCAGAGGCATTTCACTGATTATTGAGATACTATAAAACAACAGAAGCATGAACTTACAATCATCAAAAAAAATTCATATTAACATAATTGGACAAAAAAAGCAGAGCATCAGTGAGTTCCTCAAACTGAAAAGGAATGCAGAATTGACATCTTAATCACACACTATATTCCTTTTCCAGCTAAAAAATTGCTCAGAAAAGGTAAATTAAAAGATTTTGCAGATCTAAAAATTGGACTACTCTCAACAAATAGCTTAATTCTGATGCAATGTTACCCTATTCTACCGATTCTCCCTGTTCTACGGCAACTA